GGCACTACTACTAGTAGCTAGAAGCTACTAGCAACTAGGGCATCGCTACTAGTAACAAGGACATTACTACTACTAGCTAGAAGCTACTAGTAACTAGGGCATCGCTACTAGTAACAAGGGCATTAGCCCTTAGCTACGAGTAACAAGGGCATCGCTAGTAGTATTAAGGGCATTACTACTAGTAGCTGTGATAAGTCACTGATGACTCTGGCATGACACAGTGAACATCCTTGAGCTATTTAACGATGATCGCGGACATGCCACTATACTTCACAGTTTTGCGCGTGTGCTGTAGTACTGGAGTCACAAAATACTAAACACCGGGGCATGTACAGTGAGGTCTTTCTGGTGTCCCGGAGTTTCATGTTGAGTCTAAATTGTGGGCAGCAAGCCGTGCCGTGAGAAGTCAGGCTTTGACTGCTTCATGTCGTTCTTCCCTTTTGGGGTTCTAGTGCCAGGCATTAATGATGGGTAGCGTGCCTGTCGTGCTGTCTTCACCACTGGATGTGCTATACGAACAGCTGCTTGACAGCAACCTTGTCGGAAGTACGCAAGTTGTTTGGTGGTTGACCCTCATACAAAAACGTTGCCAAAACCACCAGCTCAATCTGATGATAGTTCATCACAACCCTTCATGCCTTTTGGTTCCCTTTGTGGATGCGCAGTGCGGTGGGCCGTATGTGTTTGTTTGAGGCTACATGGCCATCGCAAAAATTGAAAGATCAGGTGTCCTGAAAAAGGTCGCAGATTGGAGCCAGCTTCTTCGGGCTGGCTTGACACTGTGAAGCGCACGCTTAACAGTATTGCTTACTGTTTTGTGTGGCCAGAGATGTCGGCGGCAGAGTGGGCCTTGTATGACAGCCGGGTGCTGACAGCCAAGTCCTTTGCCTCTAAGACTGCCCACAGCATGGCCTGTGAAAAGTCGTACGGCGATGTTCTTGCTGCTGATCCTAACAGGCCTGATGGCGGCTTCTTTGCGAAGTCCGCCAACCCTATATCTTGCCAACAATCCTGGGCCGCGTCCAAACCTGCAAAGTTCACGGGCCACAGCTCAAGAGACCCGTGAGGCCAAGGACTGGCTCAGTCTGGCGGTTGGCAAGGAGGCATTGCTCGCATCGCTGCTACCGCTGTGGAGCTGTTGCCGAGTCGGGGCCGGAAGAGGTTTGAATCAAGTGAGCAAATCGCGTGACCCATTGGGTTTGGAGAAGTGCATCGATGGCGCGCTCAACTCGTTCACGTTGGTTCGTGCACTATGTTCGGCTGCGACCTTCCGGTCAGGCTTGGTTTTGAAATGCGTCGCTTGCTGGATCCAGCACCGGAGTGGCCGCCCTCGCCAAACATGTCATTCCCGGGCCAGCGGTCGTTGCGCTTGATCCATGGGATATGGATGGCACCGCTGGGGAGGGTCGCAGCTGTCTTGGACTTCAAGCAACTCAAGGAAGCCAAACCACCTAGATCACGGATGATCACAGGCCTGCCTTCGTGTGTCCGGGCGGCATTCGTCCGACTAAGGTTTCCCGTCATTATCCTCCAAAGTTGGCAGGAGGCATCGCGGGGAGAAATAGAAGTTAACAATCAAAGATGCCAGTTTGAGCAGTGAAGATCACTGAAAACCGCGTGGGGGTTTGAAAGAATTTGCGCGCCTGCTCCAATTCTGTGGCTCGCTGCTGTGCAGCTCATGAGGCGCAACCCAATTCCACGTGGCACTGGCGACGGAAGATTCTCCGCAAATGGGGGAGGCAGCCCTTTTCAAGGTGGCCAAAACTTGTGGGTGCAGCGAGAGCATACTGAGTGCGTTTGAACGCGTTTGAGCTTGCTGTGTGGAACATAGTAATTCGGTGGTGTTTTTCATTCATTCTGAGGGTGCAAGCGAAACTACGAACTCGCTTCTGGACAGACTTGATCCGTGAACGGCATCAGGCAGCACTGAGGCTGGGAGATCATGGAACTGTTCGAAACGTGCTGAGGATAACTGAGGTTGTTGGTTTGAGTTGAAAAATGATTCTTTAGCCCAGTGGAACCACGCTGGAGGTCATAATACTGACGATTTTGGTGTTCATCCCATCCGGAAGCACACATCGGCCATCGGATGTTTTCAGCGTGCTTGAGACCAGACCTCCAGCAGGACCGGTTTGGACAGACGTGTTCTCACGTACCCCTAACGCTTCGTCGCAAAGTATAGTGTGTCAAACATTTCACCTTGGAAACATGTATGTGTCCAAACTCATTAAGAAGCTCATTGGGGTTGTTGTGATTTTGTTGATCAGTCATGATCAGTCCAAAAGACGTTGACAATTTGGTTGCGAACTTCAACTTGTTGATGTATATAGCCTTATTGAGGGTTTCCTTGGAGAGAAGGTTTCCCTGGTCCTTGATGTTCTCTTAAGGCAAGCCAGGATTCGGTGCGGGTTTCCTTTTTTGGAAGACCCTTTGTTTGGAGTGTTTTGTGAAGACCCAAACCAAGAACCACGTTTTGGGGAAGCCTTTCTAGGTCCAAAGTTTGATTGACCTGTGACCTGGTTAAGGTTCGGGCCCTTGCCATCCTTTGCTCCCCTTAGTTGAAGTTGAAGCCGTGCTGTGCTCTGAGTGTTTGAGCTGTGCTGGCAGTTGCCGGTACTTGTTCACGGTTCTTGCTTATTTTGCCCACCACCTCCCTAATTGTGGGAGGTGTTTGTCCTTGGTCTAGAAACCGACAGTTGATGGTCAAGTTTTCTTTTGGACTTGTGGCGCAGGCGCTCGACAAGATAACATCTTCAATAATTAATGTTCAATCTTGGTCAAGGACGTGATTTTTGTCGCAAGTAGTTACTTCACCCCTCCTCATGTCTTGCAAATTTCATGCAAATTCCATAGATGCGGAGCGTTTCAGCAACCAAAGCACTTGCATGCCGCGCGGCACTTGTAGAAATCTCAGCACTTGCACTTGTAAGGGTCTAGCGCTTGCAAGCGATTTGATCAAGTTTCAGCATTTGCGAGAGACTTGACCAAGTTTTAGCGTTTGCAAGAGATTTGTCCAAGAGCACTTGCAAGAGACTTGACCAAGCTGTAGCACTCGCCGAGCAGCTGGATGAGTGGCGGTGCATACGAAGCTGGGCATGTGACATGGTTGTATGTATAGTGTGTGGCGCGCCGTGTGGCCAAAGTCCGTCTGTGATGTCGCTGTGCCATGCGGTGTTGCATGGCGTTGGCAAAAAAGTGTGATTGCGTGAGTCTGTGCCACCGGGCACGCTGGCATAAATGCGGCGTGTAGCTGGGGAGCCGGGTGAGTGGCGGCGTATACGAGGCTGGGTATGACATGGTTGTATGTAGTGTGTGGCGCATCACACGTAGAGTAATTGGTGGCGCTGGCGGAACCCTCTCGCAGGATCCGGCGTGTTCAACGCCGAAACGTGAGGTGAGATTCGCAAAGGAAATGAGCAAAGGAAACAGCTCCGTGCGCTCAGAAAAATGAGCAATACTCTTGCGCACGCTTTGCAAGCGGCTTTAAACTTTCGGGCCATCAGGGGGTCTAGTTTGGGGTTCGGGGGCCTGCGGGGGCCCGATGCGTTTGAACATGGCTAGGAAGTTTTGCCATCAGACAAATTGAAGGCGCAGACAGTATATAATACACTGATATAAAAATATACTTATAATTATAATAGATACTTGTAGAATCTTTTTCTATAGACCAGAACATATTGAATATTCGGTTGCGCACATATTTATTAATAAAATATATTTCGATTGTAGTAATAACACTAGCAATAGTCAATATATAAGTTAATAGCAACGCAACGTTCAAAAAAACCGACCCCAATTCGAAAGTCGGAGCGCTGCGAAGGGCTCTTCTGTAGAAGCCTTTCGCGCAACACATTTGCATCAATAGCTTTCTGCCTTGTTCATAGCTGCGTTGGTATGTATGCTATCAGTATGCTATACGCTACATCTGCAGCTTGCGCGCGCGGTCTTCTAGACCTGCTGCTAGGAAGCGTGTAATTAAATTGAAAATACTTTTGCAACAAAAACAGTTATGTATGCTACGTTTGCTAGAAGTACAGCTTGCAGGTATGGTTGTGTAGAGCTGCTGCTACGCTAGCATTGCTTTGGTGCTTGGATCTTTCTTTGGCGAGTTGGTTTGGTGGTGGGATCTTGGTTGGATAGCTTTCGGTGGGATGTTCCTATTTTAGTAAAGTCATATGAAAAGTCGAGTATAACTTTCTCTGCTCAAACGTGTGGTGAAATGCTGCCCTGCGGAGATCGCGCACGTCGTCAAGTGCTCAGATGCGTGGTGAAACGCGAATTCAGGCTGCGCTGGATCTGGAGGCAACTCTCTGCGGACATCGTGCGCGTCGAGTGCTCCAACGCGTGGTGAAACGCCAATGTTGCGTTACCACAGAGAATCCTCTGCGGAGATCGCGCGTGTCGCTTAATGGTAATTGTTGCGCCTAATCTGTTGCACACTGTGTGGCCAAATTCTGCCTGCGATGTCGCTGTGCCATGCGGCACTGCGCGGCTGCAGTGGAAAGTGCGTTCGCGTGAGTCCGTGTTAATGGGGGAAGGAAAACACGCTGGTGTAAATTTGGCGCGCCGCTGAGGAGGGGGTGATTGGCGGTGGCCACGAGTCTCATCTTACCACTCTAGAGGCGTGCGTTTGCACGTATACTTGTAGCCTCTTGTAGCTTGCTGTATGCAAATGCAGCTATAAAACTCTCAGATGTATTCATCACCATCTCTCAGTTCTAAGTAACCTTTCCTTCCACACTGCCGGGCCATTTGAGAGAACCCACTGAAACCATGGTGCCCAATGCACTTTTGGAGTAGCATGTTTGGACTTGGAGGTCCAAATTCAATTCCCGGACCGGAGGACTCGAAAAACTGGGGCGCGATGATCACGCCGATGCATATATGGCAATACACTTTGCCTTCTCGCCAAAGTCCGTCGGTCAGTGAAAAGGCAAAATAGAGTGTGACATGATGTGACATGACCACTTGAGCACCCAATGAGACCTTGAGCATCATTTGAAATTCGTTGCGCATCAGTCAGTCATGCTGAGCCGTTCTTGCCCTGCAGCAACTTGACCTGATGCCAGATGTGACCAAAGAGTCAGCTGACGGTGTCGAAGTTTTTTCCCAAACAGCCAATGCATGGCTCCATGCCCATGTGTCTTTGCTGGCTGCAACTGGAAAGATCACAGTTTGTTATTCCATCCAGGCCCGTGCTTCTATGTCATGGACGTGACAGGACGAATTGTTTGAGTTGTACCCGCATGATTGGCTTTGCTTGGCTATGGAATGTGCATGAATGTGCCATGTTGGGCAGGGCAAGAAGTGCCGGAAGCATCTCAGCCCCTTCACTAAGCAAATTCGGGTGGAGGACGAAGCTGAAGAAACGGAAGAGGAGGCAGATCCTGATCTGTCCTTTCACCAGGCTGGGAAGGGGTTTTGCTCAAAACGCCAAGAATCGCTATTGGATCCCTTTTTGGTTCCGTTGCTAAACAAAGAACCAATGCTTGGATATGTTTGGCAGTTGGGGCTGACACTCAAAGTGACGTTGTGAGCACGTCAACATCAAAGAGCATATCCCTCCAGTAATTAGGTCCTTAGGGCCCTTTTCATTCCATTTTGACCTGACGTCGCTAGCAAGAACAGCTCAGAACAGTTCAGAGCATGACTCGGACAGTTTGTTTGGCATTCATTTTGCCAAACCGTTTGTTCCGAACCGGCTCGGACAGGTCTTCCGGGCCGCCCGGAGGTTCGTCCTGGGTGACTTCGACGGGAGTGAGTTCTCTTTAGAGAAAACCCTGGAGAAAGCAGCGCAGATGGAACGGCAACAACGTCACCACGAGACTGGGCTCCACCACCGAGTTTTCAAGCACCCGATCGAGCTTGTACTAATAGGGATGGCCTCCAACCTAACATCAACCTAACATCCAATAACTAGGACTTGATAGTATACAACAAGTTCTTGTAATGGATAACATGGAGACTCAATGGAGACTCGGACAATAACCTCACATTGTTCGATATTGAGTCTTGTGGGTTGTGTCTTCAGAAACTTGGACATTTGTGCTGATGGAACTCAGGAACTTTACGTTCATGCAGCATCAGCTAGCCAGGCAACCATGATTGCAAGACAAGCTAGCAACAACTTCCGCGAATTTGGCATCTTGTTTGTGGACCAGGACGGAGCGCTGGCTTCAAATACATCGTGATTCCGGTGTTCCACCACATGTTTCATGTTCGCTCTTGTTCCTTTATGTGTTTTCCTTTGTATTTGCACGGTGTGCCTCTTGTTTCAGATTCCAGGAGAATCCAGAGTTCAATGAAAGCTTTCAGCGGAGTGCGTGCAAGAGGCTTTCTTCTGAAGCAGTGCTCTTCAAGAAGCGACCACAAGCGAGTCACTTGGCAAAAACGCGTGGATGTCCATCCATATTCTGCGTGGGAGTTTGATCGTGGGAGTTTGATTCGTCAATGGCGATTCTTTCCTCTTGAACGAGCTTTGTTTGCTAGAGGTGATGTGGCGCAAGGTGGAGAAGCACACAACTGTGGCTTTATGGCTGCGCTGGCAGCGATTGCAGACCACCAAGACGGGTATTTGGTCCGCCTTCTGTTGGAGGAAGAGGATGACTTGAAGCTCGTCAGGAATTTGTTTTGTTTTGTTTTATTGTTCGGTCCGACTGTTTGATGGCCAGGAACCAATGTGGTTGCTATCGGGTGTCTTTGTTCTTGAATACAAGCAGCAGAAATCTGCAGAAGTATCGGCAAGCTCATCCCAGCTTGATTGCCTCAGAGAAGGAAGTCTTCTTTTCAAACACCAGGCCATGGTGGCCATGTCTCCATTCTTGTCCTGATTTGGGTGGATGTAGACAGAGGTCAGCTTTAAAAGTCACTCAGTGTCACATCGGTCGGTGATCTGAGCTCGCCGCCAGGAACTCGATCAAGGCGGAGGCCAGAGGTTCCTGGCGTACAATCGTCGTGGATGACATTGTCCCAGACTCTGATGGGCCACGGGCATGCCGACCGAAGGGTGCTGTGTGGCCCAGTATTATTGAGAAAGCCTTCGCAAAAGCATGCGGCAGCTACGAAAGAACCAATTTGTGGCTCGTACAAGTTGGAAGCGCCAGTTTGCAGGATTTGGCAAAGTCGTTTTTTTCTTTTCTGTATTCAGTTCACATGTATTCAGTTGGCTGGTGCAGGTTGACCTTACCGACGCACTGGTGATTTTGACGGGTCAGAGCACCTTCCGTATTGAACTGGCCCGTCTCAATTCTGCTGCCCGCAAAAAGCCTCTTGGAAACAGAATTGGGTTGCGGGCCATTGCGATTAGGTTCACAAGAAGCCTCTTGCAGACGGAATGTGGACACACATGAAGGGTCCACATATGTTCCTGCCGCAGTGGAAGTTTTTTCCTTTCTTCGCATCTCTTCGCTGGAGATCCGAGGCTTTTCAAGGACCTTTGTGAGTACAAACAACGCGGACTTTTGGTCACAGCAGGCATCCTGCAGAATGAGGCACCTTGTTTTGTACCATGCGCCGCCAGCTTTCAAGGCCTTTGTGGTTTGAACCTGAGGCACAGGTCCTACCAAATGGCTTGGTGACCAGACATGCTTACACGTTGCTGGATTTCATCCCGCTCTTGGACCACACAAAGAGGCACAGATGATCGACATGGCACGGACGGTCGTGCGCACGGTCCGTGCGCACGGTGTCTCACTTGGTGTGTCGAAAACAGAAAACTGGACTCAACATCCATCGGATGTCGGACACGACCGTCACAGAACATGTTCATTCAAACGTGATGCTTACAGTGTGAGATTGGAGACAATTAGGGACAGGCCTACTAGTTTAGTCCATGGCTAATGTAGGCAAATGTGATCTAATGTCCAACAAACGCTGCAATTGAGAGTGACTGCAATAGGCATGCAAAACACCAGTCCATGTAACGGTTTGAGGCAGGAGAGAAACTTGAATATATACAACCTGACGCGAACACCACCGAACACCACCTGACAATCCACAGTGTTTGTGGGAAGCGCAAGGCGACTGTGGCAGTTGGAGGGGAGAGAGATTGGTCCTTCCTCGAGAGCAGAGCTTGTCAGGTTGTTCACCTTGGTGAAGTTGCGAAACCCATGGGGCCAAATCGCTTGGTGTGGGGACTTTGGACCACAGGCGAGAACGAGACGTGAACGAGACGCGGAGAAGGGGTAGCGATGGCCTCTAACCAAATAGCAATGGCCTCCAACCTCCGACGTCCTAGCAATGGCCTCCAACCTAATAGCAATGGACTCCAACCTAATAGCGATGGCCTCTAACCAAATAGCGATGGCCTCCAACCTCCGACGTCCTAGCAATGGCCTCCAACCTAATAGCAATGGACTCCAACCTAATAGCAATGGACTCCAACCTAATAGCGATGGCCTCTAACCAAATAGCGATGGCCTCCAACCTCCGACGTCCTAGCAATGGCCTCCAACCTAATACCGACGGCCTCCAGCCAAATACCGATGGCCTCTAACCAAATAGCGATGGCCTCCAACCTCCCATGTCCTAGCAATGGCCTCCAACCTAATAGCGATAGCCTCCAACCTGTTACCGATGGCCTCTAACCTAATAGCGATGGCCTCTAACCCAGAAGCGATGGCCTCCAACCTAACTACTAGCGATGGCCTCCAACCTGTTTCTAGTAGCAATGGACTCAAACCTAATAGCGATGGGCTCCAATCTGATGGCCTCCAACCGAATACCGACGGCCTCCAGCCAAATACCGATGGCCTCTAACCAAATAGCGATGGCCTCCAACCTAATACCGATGGCCTCTAACCTAATAGCGATGGCCTCCAATCTAAAAGCGATAGCCTCCAACCTAATATGATGGCCTTTAAATAGCCATGGTCTCCAACCTAGAAGTGATGGCCTCCAACGTACTAGCAATGGCCTCCAACCTACTAGCGATGGCCTCCAACCTACACGTGATGGCCTCCAACATAATAATGGCCACTAACCTAATAGCGATGGCCTCCAACCTACTATAGCGATGGCCTCTAACCTAATAGTGATAGCCTGGCCTCCAACGTATTAGCAATGGCCTCCTACCTGCTAGCAATGGCCTCCAACCTAATAGCGATGGCCTCCAACGTAATAGCGATGACCTTCAACTTACAAGTGATGGCCACCAACCTAATAGCAAGGGCCACCAACCTAATAGCGATGGCCTCCAACCTACTAGCGATGGCCTCCAACCTAATAGCGATGGCCTGGCCTCCAACGTACTAGCAATGGCCTCCTACCTACTAGCAATGGCCTCCAACCTACTAGTGATGGCCTCTAACCTAATAGCAATGGCCTCCAACCTAATATGATGGCCTTTAAATAGCGATGGCCTCCAACCAAATAGCGATGGCCTCCAACCTAATAGTGATGGCCTGGCCTCCAACGTACTAGCAATGGCCTCCTACCTGCTAGCAATGGCCTCCAACCTAATAGCGATGACCTTCAACTTACAAGTGATGGCCTCCAACCTAATAGCAATGGCCACCAACCTAATAGCGATGGCCTCCAACCTACTAGCGATGGCCTCCAACCTAATAGCGATGGCCTGGCCTCCCACGTACTAGCAATGGCCTCCTACCTGCTAGCAATGGCCTCCAACCTACTAGTGATGGCTTTTCCTTGCATAAAGGCCCCTCCCTGGCTCAGGTGGCGGGAGAGGGGCTGAGTGTCGGAGTCTGAAGACGGCTACAGTGAAAAGATGACAAAAGGAGAGGAATACAAGGAGGAACGTGAGGACAATCAGGCTGAAGTAGTCCGGGAAGCACGCAACAAGCGAGCCTTCCGAGTACCTTCTTTGAGTATCTTCTGTAACTTATGCCAAGGATCAACAGGTGGTTTCCACTGGAAAGAGCAAGTCTCAGTTTGTGTTGGCAAGTCAAGAGGAGGCCACCAATTGTAAGCGCAAGTACGAAAATGCTTCTGGAATGCCGTTTGAACAACTTCAGCAACCAGAGTCTGCTTCGGAAAAACTGGTCGGGGTTTCAGGCCAAAGACACAGCTTCCAGCACCCTGTCTGTAAAGAGCACAGATACGGGCGCGTTTGGCATGAGATGGTATGACATCGTGCCCGCACAGAGAGGCAAACTGACCAAACATAGCAGCAAATTGGGTGGCAATTTCATTCCAGGAATAATTGAAGGCATGTGCCTCCGTATCAGACCTGGCCCATGCAAAACAATGACCCGCAGGCGGGGTCCTCCTGTGTACAGGAAGGAAGCACCTGCTATACATCATGAAGCTTAGAACCAATTCCATCCAAGAGACCCCCATGTCAGCGACCTCCGTGTGCTGCTCAGCACCGGGCCACTGGAGCTGGCTAGCCCAATCAAGCAAACAAAGCATCATCGAAGTACCCCAGTAGGAGTGAGTGAAGAAGTTCTGTTCACGGATAGCAGTGGCATCGAGGATCCAAGGTGCATCCACCTTCCAGCTTGAACACAGGGCAGAAAAATGCGCCGCCTGCCTCATGGGATGTGGTTCCACAGGATGCAACGAAGCTGGGACATGTTGATCATGTAGCTTGCGATAGCTCTGTAGGGCCAAAGACAGCCTGTAGAATTGCTCCAGTGTGTCCATCTCTTGCTTACGACTCTGGGCTTGGTCCCTCCATGCATCAGTGAGGGGGGGATGGCAGGAGGTACAAACCGCAGACGCAGCTTTGTCCGCAATCATATTGCCAAGGGCATGATAACATTGCAAGTCAGGCAGCTCACCAGGCTTAGTATGGGCTTTAATCTTAACCAGCCTATTAGTGTGAGCATGGACAAGATGCTGTATGCGAAGGCATAGTTCCGGGAAAGGATGTCGGTGCAAATGAACCCCATGCACAGAGGAGGCTGCCTCAAATGTGGCCATCGCACTAGAAGAGTCCACATGGATGACAGCATGGCGGAAGAGTTCACTAGCACGAACAATGGCTCGGAGTTCTGCATGATGAATGGTCTGGGCCTGTGGACACAGCTCTTGAATGATTACATGCAATGTTGGCGGGACAAGACCAGTCTCTTTGAATCGTTGTGCATGCCAGCAGCGTTCCGCATCACTACGACAAGAGTCAACCACAATGCCAAAACCTGCATACCGCAGTGAGGGCAAAGTGGGGAATAAGCAACTGCCGTCTGTGTACACATGCAACGGTGAGAGTTCGGAAACACACTCCAACAGATCAGCTATCCGAGCGGAATCTGGCAAACGTGGCTGAATGGCATATTGGAATGTGAATCGAAATTCATCCTCTATTGATTCAAAAATGACCGGCAACTCCGGCAGCAAGGTGTCTTCGGATGTGAGTGCCTGGATCAAATTCTGGAAAGGTTCACGAATATGCTGTGTGGCAGCGCATGCAAAAAACCTATGAAATTTGGTATCTTCCTGGTGCATCATCCCAAATGGCCTGTTGGCTCCGAGTCTGGTAGGCTCCAGCGATTTCACGAACCAAAATGCGGCGCTCCATTGGTGTGAAACGTGATAGGACCTGCCGAGTAAGGTGTTGATCAACATTTGGAAAGTTGATCAAGGACCGACGATGAGAATGCAACACCAAGAGTCTGTCTTGCCATGACCGTTCCGCGAACCAAACCAAGCTCTTCCAAGGGCACAGCAAAAAACTGAGCTTGACAAAGGCAGAAACCTGGATCAATCCCAGTGCATCAATGCACCAGCCTAACCGGACCAAATAGGTCTTAAGCGTAGAGGCAGGCCCCTTGGAAGTATTAGGCTTTGGCTGATACTGCGAAGCAAGCCTAAAGAATCGACCTTGTTGTGAGCTGTCTCGAGCCAACAAAAATCTCCTTGCCGCAGCACAGGCAGACAGAATCATGTGAAGCTCAGGATCTTTAACGTACTTAGAAGCACTCAAGGTCACTAGAGCAGAGGCCATGCTTTCAGAAGGACCGACAAGAGCTTCCGCCACATGATAACGCAGGGACCGATTATGCTGTTGGCCGACTGGAAAAAGCTCACTCCCATGAAAGGCAACCTGATAAACACTGGCAGAGATGACCTGAGCCTTAACATCAATGTCCACATGCGAAGACTTAAGACGGGTTAATCTCTCCTTGGCCTTGATCAACCTATCATGAAGTTTACACATGCGAGCTGCTCCTTGGTATCGGAGTGGACAACCAAGATCACTAGCTGCAAGCACTTTAGCAACGGCAGGCAGTTGGAGATTATCAAAGGCTTTACGAACCGTACCAGCAAGGTGGGAATGAGACGTCCACCACCAGGTCTTAGTCCAGTCTATCTGAAGGCCGATTATTTTAGTCCACCGAATGGTAACATCCAGGAGTGGTTCGATGTCAAGAACTTCTTTAACTGCCCAAGCCCAGTTATCAGCATATGCGGAGATTAACGAATTGGGCGAAGTACAAGTTCGGCAAGCTGCTGTCCAGCATTGAGCGACCCCCAACATGACTAAGACCGAAAAGACATCCCCCTCTGGAAAACCGCAGCTGCTGTGAATGATGTCCGAACACTGGCCAAGGACCTCCCAGCGTCTTGAGAGCCGAGCCAGAGAGCCCGACCACTGGGCCAAAACCTGCTCAGGTACACCCAGGTGTCGAAGGATGGCAGTACCACGAGTCCTATTAATTGCGTTAAAGCATTTGACAA